TATGGGTGTTCACGGCATGGGCCAAGAACCCGGACTTCGAGGACTTAACGCAGGAGAACAGCTGTCACAAGGGACTGTTTTACTTGGCTCTCTATGGCGGCATCATCCTCCCTTATGTCGGTCTCGTTCTCGCACTTATCTTCATGATCTGTATCTGGGTTTGTACACGCATAGCCGTGAAAAAAATGACTGCGAACTAATCGATAAAAGGAAGAATGTTTGGTGATAGTGTGTTATATTTTATAACAGGTGACATATTTTTATATGCTATATAACATATTTTACATATAATTGTCATGGTTATTGATTTTTATTAACCGTACATGGGGCTGTACATGTATGACCGTCTCGCAGTTGGGTAGGGGTAGTTTAGGGGGGGAGGGGGCGTTGGATTTGTCGAAAATGAGTTATACCCATTTCCACACGTATACTAATAACCTACGCGAATATAAACCTCCGCGAAGAAAAAGTCGGCAACGAGTCCAAGGCAATTGCGTGCGGCGTCGGCAATTTTTGCATGTATGTATTTATCCTTTTCTGGAACTAGATTATAACATTATATTTTGACATCATCTACTGAAATTCGTCAATGGTGATGTGTTTTATAATAATAAATTCCTCTCAATTTGAAGGTCTTATGATGAAAAAAAAAAAATAAAAAAATCATCATCCAACTTTTCATGTTTTTTTTTCGTTATAAATGTGGTATACATGATTCGACTTAGACATAAACCCTATATATAACTTCAGGGTTCCACAATAATGCCACCCGCTGAGGCTGTACGGACAACAAAAATTGTACGTTTTTATGTTCATTGGAGCCCCCCAAATCGAGATACGCATTATAGTAATAATGTAGTTACATTTAAATAAATATAGACGACTGAAAAATATAAACACTAAAAATCTTACATAAAACAAGCGAACCGCTTGCTACTCAAACCGTTTCTGGTTATCTCTGCACTTGTACACATGTTCACGCATGCACATACATTTACATATATATATATATATATATATATATATATATATATATATATATATATATATATATATATATATATATATATATACATATATATACATATATATGTACATATATATGTACACATATATATATACATATATATGTATATATATATATATATATATATATATATATATATATATATATATATATATATATATATATAATACACACATACACACACATGTGCATACATTTACATACACATGTACACACATTTACGTACATAGATACATGTATGCACATGTTTTTACATATATTTGTACATGTACGCAATTGTACATGTACACCCACATTCTCATGTATGCATATGTAAGTACATGCAGATGCTAGAAAACACGAATACAAGTGGTCTGAGTCGAGCAATAACTGCGTTTATGCATGCATCATGTTGCTGAGGATAGCATATACAGGGAACCATGTTAGTTTATACTGTAACTCGGGAACCTTTCAAGACTTATTCATGTAACAAACGGCATTTGAAAGAGAAATATGTATAGTTTTATAGCTAATTAGATAATGAATTTTCATGGAAGGAAAGGTTTTTATAAATGAACAGAAATATTCACAATTTTTGTCTCTCTTTTCATCATACTGAAATTTTCGAGCTTCTGAACTACTATTCTCAAACAGTTTGCATCCGATGTAAGATTTGTTCATAACATTGGGAAGCTAATGGAAAAGCGCAGAAATTGTGCCAAGGGATTTTTTATTTATTTTTGCTTCCGTTTATTTTGGGCGATTAAAAGAAAAACTGCCCATTATACATTGCTTCTCCTTCGTACTGAGATTTTCTGTACACGTGTACACATGTGTACACATAGATACATGTTTACATGCACATGTACACATACATGTACCCACATGTACTCAAAGTAGTGTGCATGGTTGTGTTTAAGTGTACACATGTACATATGTGGATATTGACTTCCATACAGACATGCACTAACTTTTTAACACTTGTTCATGTATGAAAACATTAATAAAAATGGTCTGATACAATAACCTTGTTCCTGGATTGTGTCATGTTAGGGACTTTAAATTTTGTTTAATAAGCATCATTTGAAAGAGAAATTAATATTGTTTCTCTGGTAATTAGACTGATAACTGATTGAAGGAAATAATCTGAAACATCTCTAAAAATCTGACCTCCCGTACTGCTATTCGCGGAGAGTTCTTATACGATTTAAATTTTGTTGCTATCAACTGAAGACTTTTCAAACTGCGCAGATATTGACGCGAGCTTTTTAAAATTTCGGTCCCAATTTTCAATTTTTTGAAAATCGGAAAAAAATGCAATTTTATTTTTTTGTTTACTCAATAATCTATTTATATTATTATTATTATTATTTATTTATTTATTTATTTTTTTTAGAAAACTAAGGCAAATTTCGAAAAAACTTGCATCAATCTCTTTGGATTTTATCCATGTTTATGCTGATTTTTTTCATTGCAAAGTATGCAACATTGTGG